TTTACATAATTTTCATCCTCTCTTTTGAAATGTTGTAATTACAGTCGGTACTTTAGCTTACAAATGTCAAAGGAGAGGGAGTTTATTATCCGAGAGAAAGCAAAGAAATCTGAAGAACTTTGAAATTCTTTGATGTAATTTTGTATTGATTATTAAATAGTAGTTATTTCTTATCTTAATTTTTCAAGCGTGAGTTTGTTAAAGTAATCTGAGTGTAAGATCTTTAGCGATTTCCGCGTTTAATATAGGAATGTTCACGTCATGTTTACCGCTTGGTACATAATACTTGTCACGGAAAGAGCCGGAAGAACAACAATGCTCGTTCTGAGAGGAAACTCATGACTTTCATAAGTCTTTGTGCGTTTTCCGAGCGAGTTACCCGAGCACGGGCTCGGCAACTTGTTAAAATTCCATCGTGATTTCCACGCGAAGCTGCGAAGGTAGAAGCACGTCGAAAGAAACGATGCCAGCACTCGGATAATCTCGTGGCACAGATTATTGAGCACGTTTCGCACAAGTCCTTTTCCGTTTACTTCAGTAAACCAATAAACTCTAACTTCATTTCAGGTAAATCCCTACGAGTTTCATGTTCGAACCATTCGATCGGCGAAGATTTTCTTATCTGAAAGGCTTGTCGAAGCGCGCAAATTGACTAGCTGTATCGGTGCGAATATTTATACTTGTACTCAAACATTGCTGTGCAGCATAAAAATAATATTTTATGTGCCAATATTTTTTTGTTTTAAATACAGTTTACTTTATATAATTGAAAGCAAGAGAGAGAGAGAGAGAGAGAGAGAGAGAGAGAGAGAGAGAGAATACGGATGAAGAGGAAGATATCTTTTATATATTATATAATATATGTATATACATACAGATTTATTTTAAAATAATACATGTCCCAATAATATGTTAGTAAATTGTTTGAAACTTTTACTATTACACCATTTCATTGTGATGAGATTGCGATCGAATCGAAGATAGTTATACATACATATAGTTCTGTTCTGTCGTCTCTCGTCGCTTAAAACCTACATTCAGCGTGAATTTCATTGAAATAGTTTGCAGTAAAAGTTTATTATTCCCGATTGAAGAGCTCTCCACCGAGTAGGTTCGTGTGGACGTCATACAGCTTTAACCGTTTCTCGAATGTCGCGCGTTTTCAACAGACGAGAGGAAACTTCTACCCTCTCCCTCCCCTTCCCCTTCTTTCCTTCTGACAAACGTCTGAAATAGCGCATAGAACAATCGGCAATGTTATCTCGCGTAAGATCTTGCTTGATCGAAATACCTAGCGGAAATGGCCGGTCCAACTGTTAACTTCTTTCCGTACGCCTCGACGAAATAGTCTCGCTCGATTCGCCTGGCGCCCTCGCCGCAGTTCGCTGCAAAATGCAGATACAGCCGGCAGCCGAAAAGCGGAGCGCAGTTTGGAAATGAAATTTCGCGAGAATTTATGATAGTTTGCACAATAAAAGTTACCGTAGCTATCCGCGCAATCGTATCCCATGATAGAACCGCGGTATATATAACGTATATATAACAGAATATTCGTTTTACACTCTACACATCGGGGTTGTACGATATGCCACGGGATAAAAATATACGATGAAATAACAAACGCAAATCAGGACACAACATTATATAATGTAAATCGTGTGACTGTGTTTAATTCCGAGTCCACCACAAACGCCATCCGCATTTATTAAACTTGTGTGCATTTTTTGAGATTATGTTTGTGTTTTAAAAGCGGTATTTTTGTTATCGTTTTAATTGTTTTCTGAAATTATTTAAAAATTTTAAAATATTTCAAAATATTAAAAGTTTAAAAAAATTCTACTCAGTTATTTAATATTACGAGATAAGAGCACGCTGTTTATTGTAAATCATTACAATGCAATAATTACGCTTTATTTTAATTATGCTAATCAGAAATTATATTAAGTGTAATGTAAGAAAAATCTGTTTGATATTTTAAATTTATTTTAGGCGGAATGTAGATAATGAAAGAAATCTACAGTCTGCGGTTTCTTCCTAATCGTCGAAAGAAGTAATCATTATTGCATAAGCGGCGGCAATATAGCAACAAAAAGCAAAGAGGTAGACAAAGTGAGGCAGGAACTTAATGAGAAACCATTGAATCACCTTTGGCACCGAAGTCTGCCGCCAAACGCTATTGCGACGCGGTTAAAGGTGATGAAGTGTGCTAAGAAAACACCGAAGCGCGCCGGTGAAAACGTGGATAGACAGACGTAGGGGCTGCTGCCTCTGAGGCAAGAAGCGTGACCCTTAATTTCGTTTCTCGTTAAATCGTTCTTTAACGAGAAAATAAGGCTGTCTTTGAGTCAGAACTCTTGAAATACAAAGACGCGATTTCCCTGGCGGTATGTACGGTAATGTCGAATGAAATGAGACGTAAACGTCACAGATTAAACTGACGTTCTCTTTGCCGCAGTTGTCACTGAATAGAATTCCGAATTTTATACAATTTGTCAGTAGTCCATCTCTTTATCCTTAAAAACACACGCTTAAAGTATTCAAACTGTGAATCTCATATAATTCTTAATAAAATATATACGTCTGGCAAATCGCTTTCTTAAACGGTTCGTGTTTACATGGCGATTAAAGTGACAAGTATTTTAAGATCAGACTATATAATAAATAGCTCTTGTACATTTCATGGTTATTGTTATCTCCGTTTAGATAATACGCGACTACCGAGAGCTCGCGTTAAATACCTATTCCAAAACTGTTCGCAGGTACGTGATGATGGCAGAAATTCATATTCATTAACTGCGGATTGTTATGCACGAAATTCACGGTATATCTAGTATGTAATGTATTGTGTCTTTCGAGCAGAGCCGAGTCATGTTATTAAGCACTCCGTGCCATACCGACACATGGGCTTACCTTAATCAAAGCTTGTTAATCAGTTTGATAACGACTTTCCGAGGACGTGCTTGCGAATTCCAACAGTTTCACTCGATTCTGACTCCCATTATCATTAACACGTTGAATACTCTGACGGCCATTATGACAGTGGCATGTCTCGTTGATGTGCGCATAAAATTTAACATACACTGTATTACCGATCAAGTTGAGACAATGGGTGTATTTACCCAGACTGGAATTTCAAGCTTATGAGAAATTTAAAATAAAATTTGAATGCTTAGAAATTTATTGATTTATCGAATTTTTCAATGATTGTACAGGACGTACGAATTTTTTAAGCTACGTTAAAAGTTTCCAGACTCATCTTTTTGATGTAGAATACAAAAAACTCTCATCCTTGAGAAAAACTCTCACACTTGAAGAAAGTTGCATGTACAAAACCATTTCCTCTGACATTTTACCATCGCAATGAATTTCAAGTTGCTTCAAGCGCGTTATTCGTTTTTTTTTTTCATCTCCGCCGTCGTAGGCGCGACAATTAACACTGCGAAGTGTTTTATAATAATAAAGCACTTGGGGGCATAATTAACACTGTCCTGTATCCGCGCTGTCGCGCTTGAAAGACCTAAAAGTAACTCAAACTTATCTTGAAGCTTGTCTCTCTGTACTTGTCTTTCACTCTCTTTCCTCAACGATATTTTCCACTCCATTCTGCTTCCTTTCTTCCATCTTTCTGTTTCCCGTTCTCCACGAGTTCTTTGTCCCTATAAATAATTCAGATGCTCGGAACGTCGTAAAGACATTAACGAAGGTAAAAGCTTTTAAGGGAGACCGGCCTGAATCCTGAACTCGTTACACTGCTTTAACGATAATAACTCTGCAATCAGGTCGGACGATGTATTGTCTAGACATGCGTGCAGGCGTGCCAGCATCAAACATTTGTAAGTGAATAATAGTCGAAGTGATTAATCAAGTACTTAGCTCGCGACAGGTTTATCTTGATCAGATGCATAGTACGGTGCAGAAAGGAACATTTATTAACATGAGTGATGCCAAAGCGCGAATAATCGTTGATGTTATTTCATCTCTTATCCCTTTCATTTTAGAACTTAAATTTTTTTTCTTGGCTTTTCTCATTGGAATTACGCCATGATATAAGTAAAATAATATGTTAGGCTTAGTACACTGAAAAAAATTTTACTAAATTTTAATAAATACTTGTTTAAATAGTACTAACTAAACATTTAGTTACAGTAAAGATTTACTCAATAAAAAATGATATTTAAATCAAATTAATGGTTCTTGTACCAAATATATGTTTAGTAAATATATTTAATTAGTATTATTAAAATAAATTTTATTACAATTTAATACATTTTTTAAATGTATAAAATTGTTTATATGAATCTCTTTAACAAAGTTTTGATTTTTTTTGCGTGATTTCGACTACTGACTCATAAAATAACAATAATTATTCTACAAGATAATTTTAATTTTATAAAAAACAAAGGAAAAAATTATTTATTTTAATAACGTTGGATCTTTTACTACTGTTATTTTATCTCACAATTACGCAATTACTCAACAATGAGTATTAATCGTTTCCCCGCAGAGTAACGCATAAAAATTGTAAATGAATAGGGGAAGCTTATTTTTTAATTAATTTACGCTATAGTCTGTTTTAGAGAAAAATTAAAGCTCGTAATGGCTGAGACAACAGTAATTTCAGAGATTATAATAAATAGATGTCGGTTATACTAACCAAGACTACATTGGTTCGACTCTTCAGGTTACAATATTTTCTATCTCTATCTACACTACGGAGTGCAATTTCGAAAAGGAAAACAAATTACTAATCAGACTTACTTAGCTCAGACGGTCGTTGCAACTTAGGGATCTTAAATTGAATTTCCTCTATGGGGAAATCTCCATATTTCTCGCAAATATACTTGAGTGTCTGAATTTATAATTGTGTACGTTTCATGAAATGTAACAACGTTAAATATTATAAAAATAGAAATGAGTATAGAAAAATAAATATTTTGTTTTCATTGTTATTTTAATGATTTATTTTATTTTGTTCTAAAATGTCTACGTTGGTGTTGCAGATTCCGAATTGCCTCGATTCGCCGAGGAAATCCAAAACGTGACAGTAAGCGTGGGACGTGATGCCTTACTGGCTTGCGTAGTGGATAACCTACGACATTATAAGGTACTTTAAATTAAACTATCTTTATTACTGTTGTATATATGTCAAATGTCATATAGAAGATGGTTAGCTACTCGAATTACCTTTGCTTTAAATTTATTGATTAGAATCGTTTGGAATGATTAATGGAATAACCTTTGATATTATAAGATTACATGGTTTCAAATGAAATTTCTTCTCCGTTTCTATTCCAAGTATGTCGGATTTTATATGAAATAGCGTTATCGTATAATTATTCTTCTCGAGGTGAATTCGAGCCATTGATTGACATATTTAGAAAAATTGAGGTCACATATCTATATCTCTTATAATTGAAAATGTCAGAGCTTTTACAAGCATTTTCTTCTGCATTACTATTTTCTGCTCAACATTGTGCAAAATGAGCACAGATAAGAATGAATATAGAACAAGAGAAATAACTGCTGATACAATTAGATAATAAAAGATGAAAATGTTATACTTTAAAAAGACGTAATTAATGTCTGTGTAAAGAAAACGTTACAATTAAGAAAATTAATATGTTACAACAAATGAGAATTTAATACTACTTATCCAGTACTAATTCTATAGTATATTTGGTTAAAAAGTCTCTCTTTGTATTCCAATATAGAAACTTGAGACGGTTCCGTTTATTTTTTTTTTTTTTTGTATTTTGATGTATATGTGTGCACGTATGTATTTTTATATATTTTTTATGTATGTACATATGTATTTTAATTCTCCATTCTGATTTCTCGTATCATATGGCACATAAAATTATAAATAGAATACTATTCAGAATTCTGACGCGAATTATAGATTGTCTAAAGTGAGCTTAAGAAAACGTTTTCAACATGGTAAATTGCTATTAAGCAAGATTCGAACTTTTCTTGCTTCTGCGCAAGAAACGCTTGCACAAATTAAATGAAGATAGTATCTACTGAAATCCCTACGGCGTTTATGGTCCGTAGACTGCGAATTGGACGGTCCTAGTTTGCGTACCGTTATCAAAGACTTCGCATAATTGCTTCATTTTCCTTCAGTTAATTGAGATGACGTAACAATAGAATACAATTCATTTTGCCGAGTAGCGACAATACTTACCAGAAATAACGCAGTTCGACATAAGCTAATAATACGTTTCTTCTTTCCCGAGATGACGTGATCAGAATCAAATAGAACTTTATAAATTATTCTGTATTTATCGCAAGCTAACTCGTCATGGATTTTAGTGCATCTTGTTAAGCGAGTAAATTAAATTCATACGTTTCCTTTAAGCGCATTTCAGGAATGTGCCTTGGTACATGTAATATAATTTGCAAGATATCCGCCACCCGTCTTTTGAAAATTTAATGAGAGATGAAAGATTTATGTACTCATCGTTCGACGAGCTTTCGTACACTCGGTATTCACTGCACATTCCGAGGAGAAAACATATTTCTCATTCAAAAATTTTCTTTTAACAGCATTTTTATTCTACTATCCATTTATCTTTTTAATCAAAAGGCTTTTATATGAAAAGCGTCAAATGCTTTTCTATTAAAAGCTGAGAAATGTTGAATTTGTAAATTTTTATATCGAAAATATATACCGATTATATATATATTTTTTTTTTCGTTTACAATATAGATAATGTAAATCTTAATCTACATAATAAAGTGTTATTTTTAAAATTATTAATATAAATAATATAAAAACCCTAATAAAACTATAAACTTTTTTAATAATATATATTTATGAATTTTTAATATAAAATTTTTTGTGCTTGTTCTTCCTTTATATTACTTTACAAGAGGAAGCATTTTACTTCGTTTATAAAATATTCTCATTTCAGGATATGAAAATTTCTCAAATATTTCAAATTAATCAGATTTAATTTTAAACTTACTTAGATTATTTAATTTTTTAAATACAAATATAGTTTAATTTCTCACATTTCCGTTGTTAACAATTGCAACAATGTCAAGTTTAAGATAAACTTTCATCCGTTACGTCGATGAGGATGTGTCAGGAGTTGTGTCAAGATGAGTTATTAAAGCAATATTGTAACGAATACTATGAAATATCGTTCGGTATAAGTATGCACACGTGTTTACGCATGTATCACATAGCGTAACCTCACGCCTACACGTATAAATATATAAGAGTCGAGTATATACAGTAGGTGGGAGCTAAAATATTCGCGAGTGAGCTGATCTTTTCTACGAATGATACTCTCCAGTCGTACTACTAGAAACACGAAACATACTTGAGTTGCACTTGCGGTGGAAATTATACTGCTGTAGAATTTGCGAGACTTTGGGCATGTTTTGCATGCTCAAGAAACCTCTTGCCCGTATCGAAAATTCAACGACGAAAGTGTGTGAGAGACAGGTGGTAGTAGGAAGAAGAGTGAGTAGTTCTGAAACCTCCGTCAGTTTCTCGAGATCTATGTAAAGAGGATAAAGAATACTATCTTACCCGATTATTAGTTTAAAAAAGAGAAAGAAACAAATACGATATTTTTTAATAAAATATATAAATTCACTAGAATATGTATTTAAATGTTCACAAACAAAATAGGTACATCATATGTTATGTTCAAGATTTATACAAAATATACTTTAACTGAATCTAACATACATCTAACATAATTTTTAGAAAGAGAGACAATATTATACAAAAATAAATATGCTTTCTATTTAAAATATAATTTATTTAATTTATAATTTACTGTTTGATACCACTCTCGATGTGGCATATCCGAGGTTTCTTTTATTTTGCTATGCTACAACTTTTTAATTAATGAAAGTACATATGTCTATCTATTGTAATATTCCTTGATGTCTAATATTCGAATTTAAAAAAAAATTATTATATGTTCATTTTTATAAGATATTTTTTAGTATCCAGTGGGTAGATGTGATACAAGGAATGACATCAATTAATTAAATAATGTTTTTAACTATTTATTATTTAATATTACTACGATTAATTTTATGTTTTGTGTATTTTATAATTAAGTAAAACAGGGATAGGAAAAGTTGAAGATATACAGGGTTGGCCATATTCGACGGAAAGATGTTTTTTTTTTCAATCATGGGAAAGAGATGTTAGATCGAGTAACGACGTTTCCCATGATTAAAAAAAAAACATCTTTCCGTCGAATATGGCCAACCCTGTACATATCGAAAGGTATTTTCATAATTAAGCAGGCAAAGTGGAGATATGTATAAAGTTAAAGAGAGTTTAAGAGAGATATATGTTCTACCGTTTGTTTTAGGTGGCATGGGTGCGCGTCGACACGCAAACTATACTGTCGATTCATCAGAACGTAATTACCCAGAATCCCCGAATCACGTTATCGTATAATGATCACCGTTCGTGGTATCTTCATATAAAGGAAGTTCAAGAAGTTGATCGCGGATGGTACATGTGCCAGGTGAATACGGATCCAATGAAGAGTCGTCAAGGTTACGTACAAGTTGTAGGTAAGCAGTTTTATGTACAAAATGCATATGTTTCTTATTTATATTTAAAATTATTTATAAATTATAGTCTTCCAAAAAATTATTTATCAACATATTTTTCTATTAATATATTATTTAATAACTCAAATAAATGTGTGTATATGTGTGTGTGTGTGTGTGTGTTTGTGTGTATGATGTGATCGCAAGTCTGTAAAAAATTCAAATTCATGTAAATGTGACTAACATGAAAGTAAAATTTTTTTAACGTTTGTGTTACAGTACCTCCGTCAATTATTACCAAAGAGACCAGCACTGACATGGTGGTCCGCGAAGCTTCCAATGTGACATTGACGTGCAAAGCGACCGGGTATCCGGAGCCTTACGTCATGTGGCGACGGGAGGATGGTCAGAACATAAATTATAATGGCGAGAGTGGTAAGTCATAATTAATTCGTCATGATTATTAGGAATAGACAATTGAATAGAGACGATGGATTCAGAGCTTAATGCCAAATAGGATAGTTATTTTAAAATGCTGTCGAGAGATGTATGTCGATCGATAGTCATTATCGCAAATGTTAATTTTACTATTTTTAGATTGATCAATCCTAGTATGATATTTTTGTTTAAATTTATATTTTTATCATACTTGTGAATTAATTACAAAGTTACATCTGCGATCAGTGATGACATATTTGTTTACCGAGTGCTTAATTTGAAATATTTAAAAAGTACTTTTAATTTTAAGTCACTTTTAAATAGCACAATGTATCTCAATATTCTGTTATTTAATTCAAATTTTAAAGATGGAATTTTAATACTTCCTAAGTGTAATATTTATTTAAAATTTACAAATTTCGATCTGATCATTTAAATATGATTAATATTAATTTTAAAATTATACTTTATATTTTTGTAGATATAATTAGATAAAAGAAATGATAAATAAAACAAATATATATGTATACGTATAAACATAATGAAAATGAACTCTCGAAAACAACACGTTCGCCATTATATAATATCATGATAATATAATTAAATATATCATAATGTGGAAAATTTAATAAATTTTCCGATATCGAATTGTATTATATATTTACATCAGCGATTATCACTAATTAAATCCGTTTTTAAACATAATCACTCTTCTTTCTTATTATATGAATAATACAATTTTGTGAGCAAATATAATACAATGATATATAGAGCTACGTCTCTAAGTTAGTATCATCCATCCCGCTAACGGATGCTGTGCTTTAACGATTAATTATTCCTCTCCTAGTCCAACATCAAAATTCGGTTGAGCCATGGCCAGAACGCAATTATTCAGGTGCGCGCGGTATAACCACTGTATCGCCAAACTGTACTGTAATGTGTCCAAAAGTGCAGTTCACAGCTAGTTCGGAGTTGAGGTCGATAACATTGAGATATGGATATGCTATCCGGTAAAATTTCTTCAATTTCTACGTGAAAAGTTACCTTGCTAAACTTTTTTATTTCGTATTGAGTTGCTCAGAATGTCGTTTTGTCCTTTCTCTACATTTTAGTAAACCGAATAGGTTTATGGCGATAGTAAAATGATATTTACATATTCAACGTAGTTCTATAAAAATATAATTTTAGATGTTACAAAAAATTATTTCTTCAAACTAATTATTAATTCAAACTAATTACAATTGTACTTACAATTAGTATAAATAACTAAATTACATATTTATTCATTGAATTAGTATTCGTTATGGAAGATTAACAATTATCAAATTTCATTATAAATAACGGATTGATGAGCGCATCTGTGGCGTCCTTGTCATTCCATCATGGATGAAAATAACCATACGATATAAGAACACGTCTACTTCCTTGAATCCGTCTCGATCAATGCTAATTACCCTCTTAATTACTAATTATGACTAGACTAAAAAGTACAAGTCAGTCTGTCGGTCGGGATGGATATTCACGGAAAGGCGAGACGTCAAACCGTCTGTAGATTCCAGAGGGTTTCCTCAATAAAGGATAAAGGTCGGATTTAATTTCTGCGCGCTAATTTAAATTTTCATTGCCTTCCAAGCATACGCCGAGTGCCGACGCTCAGAGGATCGTCAGATCGTAAACCACTACTCCATACTAAGCCGGCCGTATAAACTGATACTGATAAATATGGATGTCGCGCGTTCTGATATGGAAAAATAGTCGATTACGTAGCGTGATTTACTGATTATCCGCTGTCGAAGTGGTGCCCGATTTATTGTGTGTTAATAAGATAAATAAATTGAAAAGTTCTTATATTAAAATAAAAATAAGACAAAGTTGTTAATAAATGTTTTTATTTGCATGTTATTTTATCTTCATTTTTATTCACAGTTGTTTATATACATGACATTTTATTTTGCGTTATTTTCACAATTGTTTTGTAAAAAGAACGATAATTAAAATAATAACTTTAAAAATTCTTATGATACAAAGCAATATATAAAAATTCTTTTGAAATATTTTTCCATCGTAATTACACCCAATTTAACTGTTATTTGAAAGTTTTTTAATATATTACAAATATATTCTTTTCCGTAATCTATTAAAATGTGTTCGAGAAATAACGTTAAAATAAATTAATCTGATAATTAGAAAATAAAGATGAAGAAAATATGAGCTATATATTTTGAATTGCGTCTTTATTAGTATATAATAATTAATTCGTATTTTTTTTAATTATAGAGAAGGTAAGATATAATTGTATAAACATAGTATTGTTTCAAATGTTATTAATGAATTTATCAGTTTCTAAAACAGTAGTTTTTTAATAAAAACTCGTGCATCTAAATATTGTTTATTAATACGCAAATGCAAATGTTTATTAATATGCAAATGTTTATTAATATGCAATATCGCGATGCGTTACATCGAAAAAAATTTCTCATCTCGCGTTGTTTAGATGTTATTATATAATACATTTGAAAATAATTAATTTTATTGTAAATGGAAGGTAGTCATTGAAGGTGAAAGTTATTAGAAAAAGTGAAAGGTACTAGAAAAATCCGATAATGTAAAGAAAAAAAATATTATTAATGATGTAAATGTTGCTTTAATTATACGTATTATATTATATTTAAATATGTATTATACTATACTTTGTCCGTATTATTATTTAAAATGGGATAACGCGCATTCGTAACAAATATTTATTGCTTTGAAAATGTACGTTGAGAAGAACTTAAAATGATAGCTGAAGTTATAAGATGACATTTCATAACATTACTACGTAAAGAGGAAATAAACTTTTATGTTCGCGCACAGCACATGGGCGTTGAGGGTTAACACCTTTTAGAAGCTATGAATATTTTATTTATATCGAGCTATTATCCATACTTCATCCATTTACACAAACTGTTTCTTTTCCAAAAACGTTTATTCATATTTTTTTTAATTCTTTTACTTTCTCTTAAAAAATTCAGTATTTGAATCCTGCAGAGAATAGAGAAGCAATAAGTTATAAGTATTCTAAGCTCTCGTTAAAAACTTTCTGATATTTATTAAATTTTTAATAAAATTTTAATTTTATTTTACGATTCCTTAAATAATTTTCTGAGATTACAGACTCAAGCAGTTCTGTATAATAATAAAACGTAAAATTTTTTAATCAATTATGACATACTTGATATTATCGAAAAAATTAAATGTTATAAAAGTATAAAGTTTTTCCAATTTAAAAAATGAAATTATCTTTTAATTCCTTTAATATCCTTTAGATAGAGATCCGTTATTATTGCATCTCTAATTAAGGATTTGTGAAGTTGCCAGGTATCGATAGGTGATCGATATTAGTCGACGCACAGAGATGCTTTCCAGCAAACCGACGATTCATCATTCGAGATGAGCGTCAGATTATCCGTGTAATTGGACGAAATATCGCGCTGTGAATATGGTTCGCGTTCGAGCCGTACGACCGTGTTACTAACTGATGTGTTGGCCTCTGGGGCACGAGGGACGGGCTAACGCCATTACTTCCCGCCTGATAGCCTCCAGACACCTACCAACCCTCCGAGAAAGTATAGATGGTTGCCGGCTTTTCTTGCTTCTTCTTGAACCGAAGGTATACCCCATCCGCGCGCAGTCTACCCTTTCGCCCACCTCGGGGCGAGTAACCGAAAAAGAATGGCTGAGAGAGATGAGAAAGCAAATCGAATTTAGCAAAACTATCGCGCGTCGAGGTGCTGCCGTCGTTGAACGTGATGGTAGTAGTGGTGCGAGGCACCTGCAGGTACAAGGGAGATTTACCTCCGGCGGACAGGTACCGGAACTGATCGTGCGGAAGGGCGATGGCGAGAACGCGAGAGAAAAGATAAAAGAAAGAGACGCGGGTGGGAAATTAGAGCACAGGCGAGTGCGGGGGTAGTCATGAGGAACAAAATAAACGACGAAGACGGCGGAAACGAATCGTCGCGCCGCTCGTGCCTTTAATACGATCGTTCATAAGAGCGATAACGCGCCGCAATTCAGTGACGTTCTACGGATGTCGTGGCCGAGGGGCTGAGGGGTGAATTGGAATCGGATGCAATGGCCGAGTTGAAGGAGTAGGGGGGCTATATTCCGACAAAGCCCGATATCAGAGGTTTACCTGCGCGCACGAACGAAAATTCACCTTGCCTCCATAGTTATGGAAACGCGTATACGTCGACACTCGTCGATGCCGTATCGCGCGCTTCGTGCTCGGGAAACGCGATTGGCTTCTTCCACCTTTTCGAGATGTACCGCCTGGTCACTACCCGTCCATCGTGCGTCCTCGTGTGCGCTACTCCATTCCCATCAACGCTAGTCGGGTGGACAGATCCAGTCTTTTCTCTCTCTCTATCTTTCTCGACACGAGAAAGAACGACTCTAAACTCATTCGGACGCGTATGTGTAACAGACGTGTACATACCGCGCGAACCATCCACTCGACTGTACACATCTACACGATTATCGTGGATCAATGTAGCTGCGCGCCTGTGATTATGTGTGTACTCACGAATCCTTGCACATATGTACTGTTCACCGACCGTTAAATGTACATACATGTGAAGTCATGGACGTGCGCGTACGCCTCCTCCTCGCTCACCTGTTTATATCTACCGCAAGAAGCGAAGGTAGATAGCGAGAAAGCGAGAGACACATATACCACGAGTATTTCCGTCACCGATACTCTCACGAGTCCTGGCAAGATCTCCCCGTTAATGCGACCACGGCTTGTCGACGCGAGGCCGACATAACGCGATGCGACTGGAAAATCGAAACCGACAACGAGCTGAGTTTCCCGCCGCGCCGGTGTACCAGGGAGACGAACGTACAGGAGAATAGGAGCCGATGTGCATCGGGTATAAAGCACGGCGCAAAGTCGGCTATACCTCGCACTCATTTTACGCTTACACACCCAACGCTCGCCCAGTTCTGCGCCAGGGAGAACACACGTACACATAACCAGCTCGAACCGGTATCGAACGCCCTGATGTCTGTGGTACGCCAATGCTTGCGGTGAAGAGGCACGTTACGTTTTCTCGTTACCGTTTGAGGTTCCTTTGTGCCTTCCAAACCGCTGGTAAAGTCAGCGTTCAGCACGGAGTCAATATTATCTGAGAAATTTCTCGCTGGAAACTGGAATATAATAGCCCCGTCTTTCATCCGCTTTACGCAATGCTGCACTGCAAACGTAATTTGTCTTTCAAACCTCGTGACGTCAAGCGTCTATGACAATCGATGATGCCCCCTGAATCCGTACTGTAGTAACGAGCGATTTTATTTCATTTCATTTCTCATTGTCCACATTTGTCGCAAGTATTTACGCAATTTGTTTGGAATCTGTGGACATTTTTATGTTTTTTCATGCATAAAGCTTATACAAATAGCTACTGGAAAATGTGACCAAATGTTTTTAATTCTTACACACACCATTTGTTTAACATACCATTTGTGTGTGCGTGCATGTGTATTCATATATGTATACGTATGATTGTTAGCTATTCAAGTATTCCGCGTTTGCATATTGAAAATTTCAGGTTATTTAAATGGAATGAGCTTTCTTTTTCCTTTTTTACATCAAAATAGCGAATTAGATAGAATAAAATTATATTTTATTTTAATTATTTTACAGAATAGAAAATGCGCGAGTGACGTAAATTTGAAAGATAAAAATATTGAATGCCATGTTTGCTTTTTCAATATTTTATATAACTTATATAATTGCGCTATTTGTCATAGTCATCATTATTAATGTGTCTGTGAAAATATTTTCACTACCGGTGCAATAAATACATAAGAATCACTTACGTACGTCTGGTCTAACATTCGCGGATACATTAGCAGCAATAATCGTTGGCCGAGGATTTCGCTTGAAAATGAATGTACCTGGGTTATCTCACGGTTATAACGCGAAAAAGAGCACTTAAGGCTACGAGAGAAAGGGGGATGGGATGAAATATCTGCGACCCATCCTTCGCTTATGGGGCGGAATACATCACGTACTAATTCCCAAATAGGTGGCCAACCCTCCACTTCGTCTTCGAGTAAGCTGTTCGCTTATTTTTACACCGCCGAGAATACGTCGCGGAAAACGTTATGCAAAGCACGGCCCGGCATCGATGTGAATGAACGCAAATTTATTTCAGGGTACTTTCACGCGCGCACTGCTTCTCTTTACACACATTTGCCGCTTAAATCCGACGACGGATGAGCCACGAAAGATTTCACGTCATTCGCAGACGCGCAATGTCCCGTGAAAATTTCGAAACATTTTCACCGGTACGAGCGCAACGCGAAACTTTATCAAGTCCGACGATTGGGAGCCAATTTTGCCGAAGTTTAATAACGTTATAGCTCGAGCACTGATCTTTCTAGGTCGACGCAGGCAATATCACGTAGTATTATAGACACGTACATCAAGTACATGTCTATAACTTTAATATATGAACGTAATATTCACGTAATATGTACATATCTGGGCGCGGTAGATGTCTCTCTCATTGCATTCTGTATTATATGTACGTTAGACAAATATTTTATTCCTGTTACATAGCGATGAAGAATTTAATTTATTCTGTTTTATTTTCCTGGCAATCCTCACATTTTACAACATTTTAAACGTATTATTCTCTTTATATTATTTCGACAAATAGACAAAGTGGAAGTGTAGGTTAAAAATGCACACAGATGCATACACAGTGAAGAACATGGAAAAACTCCACAAATAGAAGATATGAAGACAATTAGAAGAGAATTACAAGTTGATGATAATTTTATTAATGGCGTTATTCATAATGTAATATGACATGACAATGCGTGAGTTCACGCGATATGATAATAACGCATAGTTTAATCTTAACTGGCATAGATCGTTGTCCTACCGTGAAATAATCAGATCGCTGGCAATTAAATTGAGTTACCCCGATCGAGGAGGAATAATAAAATTTAGGCGTGTCCGAAAATAATAATTGTTCGCGTTCTCTTTTGTTTGTGCCTGCCGCGGCACGTCCGCTGTGAAATTTCGCTCGACCGGACCATATTGCGGTTTCCCATTAAGCCGAAAGTTTTAAAGGTTTCCGCTAAACCGGTAAGCGAGTAGTTCCGACACAAGACCTGCGGGACTACTTGATTAAAACCCCCTGAAAGTGCGACCCGCCGGGCAGAATCTCCCCGGCACTCTGCATTGTTTATGGAACAATAGATAGGTTTGCCGCGCAGCTTGTAGCACGGGGTTGGCTACCAAGGATTCAGCACTCTCTCGCATCCTACTGCTGGCCGGGTAACAACTTTATCCCTTTCACCGCTTTCATTGCTGTACATGTATATATGTTGCGTTCCCTTGCAACAGCAAAATCTTCAGCTGTGATGTGCGGCGTAATTTAATGGAATTTTTATTTCATTCAACGTGAATTTTATTGTTAAAGCACATGAAAATGCGTAAACATGTAAAGATGATAACTACGCGATAATATAAGTGCACGTATTTTATACATTTTATGTTGCAAATATTATCATATTTACTGATTTAAAAAACATCATCGATTTTTGTATTACAATGCCTTATATTATTAACCCCTTCAGACTTCTCTGTAATGTGCATCAAATTTAAAGACATTAATAATATAATAGACAGTAATAATATAATATTGCAAAAATAGTCCAAATTTTGAAAAAAAATTAATTTTTTAGTAAGAATTATTTATTTATTTATTTATTAAAATGTCCCTAAACTGAATTGAAAAAGAAATTAACATGTGTTCATTAAAATCAAGTTTAAAAGAGTTAAATCATAATGAAATTACGTAAGGATAAAAAATTATATAAAAATAAAGTCTTCTTAAACATGGATCAAAGTGCGTGATACCTTTAAGAGCATCACACATAACTTGTAACACCTTGTGTATTTTTACAACGCTTTATTGCTTCTACGCAGTTCGGTCAAATGGACGTAAAGTTTCTCGCGTCTCACGATGCTTTCAACTTTATTGCAGGAAAAAGTTTAAATAGGTTTTCCATCGCGCTATATATTCCTTTTGCATTTTCTTGAAATGTCACTTTAAACTAAATAGCAACGAGAAAAAGCACACCAACTTGTTTTCGCGTGAATTGTTCCCTTTTAAATATAAGCACTGAAAAAAAGATTGGTTGCTGCAACAATTTAGATAGTAAAATATGGCATAGCATTTTTATATGGCAGCAACAACCAGTTTGGTTGTAGCAGCAAATTTTAGTTGCGTTAGCCTAGTGTTGCTGCCATATAAAAATGCTATGCCATATTTTACTATCTAAATTGTTGCAGCAACCAATCTTTTCTTTCAGTGAGCAATATACTAACAAAAACAGGTAATAAATAATAGTAGTTCGAAAAAACTTTTTTGTAAAATAGTTAAATAGAAATTTAATTACACCACAAATTAATAAATTTCACATTTGTCCCAATTCTTTTGACTAATTATTACATATTACGTGAATCATTTGCATTTTAAATTGTATGGTATAACGTATAGTATAATATTACTTATATAATATGTGTGATAGGAAATGAGATTCAATCGATGCGATCAAAATACTATATGCTAAACATTCGTTGAATATATAATTTCTATATCCAGATAAAATACGCATGCCATGTGCAATCTATTAAGTGACGACAGCGAGGTAACGCATAGATCATTCCATCAAATACAGCAGTTTTTCCGTTAATATGACGATTTATTTTACACCGTTTTCTGGTTTGATATGCACACAAGTAATGCGTTATCAATGTAATCGCTCTTAAAATGAGGATAAATTATATAGAATCAAAATTTATAATGTGCATACGATAAGAAGTATTTGATTTTTGAAATATTCTGAAGATTTATTATCCAATAATATTTAATTATGTACCTGTTTCGTTTTCGCGCGTCGGGAATTATTACTATTGAGATCTGTAATCGAATAGAATCGGTGGCAATAATGCGATTATCGGCACGCGATTGTCTTTAATGCTAAGCAGCTCTCTTTTGACGGAGTACAGACATAATTCTCCTTTACAGAGTTTAATCTATCTCCTATCTTTGCTTTATGTCATCTGCGCCAGTCATATCAACCAACATGCCAGAAATGAATGCAGCGTAGATGCAAATAGCTCTCTAGCAAGGCGCAAAGTGCTCTTTGTCACACAACATGCAATAAAAGTTTCGACGCATATGCGCATCGCGTGCTTTCAGCGGCCTGCGCTCCGATAAATGTTGCCTTCTTTGTCGACATTATGGATATCAATACGTTTCGGAATAATACTGATATTATCATGATACACTTCGCTTATTAATTCGTGAGAAAAATTACAACCACGGCGAGCTGCGTTTGCCAAATTGTATTACACGTTATACAATAATTATTTTGGGCGGAATATGATACGAGAGGATTTTTCAGCGATTTGCTATCTACAATGCAAACACGTTTTAATTAAAAAGTATCGTTTAATTAAAAATTCGATTATTAATTAATTGCTTATAGGTTTTATATTATAGTTTACAACAATTGTATTTTTTAACTTTTATGCAATAAACATTGAAAATACCAGAAGAATATATTAAATGCGTTTTCCTAAAGCTTTTGCAGTTTACATATTAATATATGTGAACATTTTATGTTCCAGTGAATGTCGTGGATGGCGAAGTGCTGCATATCGTGAAGATAAGCCGTCTTCACATGGGAGCTTATTTATGCATAGCTTCAAACGGCGTTCCGCCATCGGTGAGCAAGCGCGTCTCGCTACGTGTGCAATGTAAGTTACTAATTTTCTCACAAAGAATTTCCATTATGCACATAAACATTCCTTGAAATTTATGAATTTACTGTACATAAATGTAATAACAATGGATACAGTTCTTAATAAAGGAATTGTATCCATGCATTGATACAATTTTTAAAAAAAAAGAAAAAAGAAAAAAAAGGAAAAAAAAAAGAAAATAATATCGAACGATTTTCCGTACAATTTAATATTTATTTATAAATACCGATAGGAGAAACATTTCAAAATATTCGTAAAGCTATGGATCCGTGCCCATCCATGCCCATTAACGTAACGAATTCAGATAAAACCAATAGTTCGCAAAGGCAGCGATTTTAATATTGATTTCTCTGATTGAAAAAGTTTGTAGGAATTATTTTCCACAGCGTGAGTATCTCGAAACTGAACCAATCGAAACTTCGCGAGATCGTGTCGAACATAAATTAAAATGTCTATGTATGAATGAGTACATACTTTCAATGTTTTATATTTTTACTTTTAATGTTTTGTTTTTTTTTTATATTAAATTATTGATAAATTGTATAGATATATATACATATGTTTAATTAAATATTTTAAAAATTAGAATTAGAATAATATACTTTTTCTTAATTTATATTTTTTATAGCTCTTTAAAATTAATTAATCTATCTATGAAAAATAATTTTATCTAACTTTTGAAAATGTTTCTATAACACACACACACACACATTTATATACAATTTTCACGTAATTCTATTTATTTTGCTATATTTACAGTATTAGTGTCAATATCGGATATACATATTTTTAGGGATTTATTTAGTATAGATAGTATAGATAGTATTATATTGATTTTGCATCAATATCATACTATTGAGTACTGGATTTGGCGCATACACTATTGATTTCTCCGTGTATCTATATGCCATTAGCGAAAACTACGATGTCATCGTAATACTGTGCACTTTGGTATTATGATAAGAGTAGGATAAAACTTGGGAAGGAGCGACTATTGTCGCATAAGGATACCGGCGTATTTTTCTGTACAAGAAAAGATGATAAGAAAGGATGATGGAGAGAATCCAGTTTTTATCATACCTCTCCGATTGCGAGGCGCGCGTAACTTGGTAAATGCTGGTCGCTGGAAGCAGTAAAGCACGATGTCGGATATATTATACTTTTAATGAACTCGACGTGGTTCATAAACGTTAGAAATGAAATAAAGCCACTACTTTTCTTTGATATATGAACTACGCTAATATCGCTGCTTGCGAACTAGTTTTTATTAATCTCTCGACGTTACACCAACTGCATGCTGTGTATAATTTCAAACAAGTCTTGTAGCATTATAAATACCTTATAGTATTTTATATTCTCTATCGTACGATTTGGCATAACATTATAATTTATGACGTATTATTTCACATGGAAGCTATATTTTTGAGAATAATTTTCTTGCAAAAAATACAAATTTTTTAATATTGGTTAAAAATGTTTATGTAAAATAGATACATATACGAAAAATTTGTAATTTGAGTCACTTATTAATACATCGTATAATTTATGAATAATAGTGTAATGCGTTATAAATTGGAGAGAAAATATCGATAACTATAAAAGATATGCATTTTATTAATATATACATTTATTAATATAGGAGCGAGATGACAGGACCAATCTTATTTGACGAATACAGCTACAATTTGTTGAAGAATAGCTGTTCTTCATCCGTAGAAGCATTCTCGCGCGATGCGCTATACATTAGGTCGGTTTTCAACGTCTCATTTAGCCACCAATTTATGGGTGGCTACTTGACCCAGATATGGTCGATATACGTCCGTTCCTCCCGGTGAACCTATTTCAACCGTCGCCCATCTACCGACATTTCTTGGATTCCATTTAGTTTAGGGTGCGAAACGCGTCCCTGCGCCATCTTTTCTGACACATTAGTTCCTTACTTCTACGTTTTCTTTTCGCGGGCGAACACAAATATTAATAATCGTCCAAGAAATTCAAGCCTCAAACGGCGATTTCGTACGAGGATCACGAATTGCGTCAACTACTTTGGCCACTTACACGCGACCCCAGGCGCGGCATAGTATTTTTCTTTCGGATTTCTCGGGAATATTATATGGCATATTGTAGTATATTCTCTCGGATGTTGATTTGCTGACGGTGCGTGAGGCATGATAAACGCACAAGTATTATTAACTCATGGCGTGAATTAATAACAGTCGTGTATCTCTCTCACAGAAATATATCGTCTAACAAGTTTTTCAGTGACTTTATCTTTTTAGTAGAGATACTTTTTTTGCAATAGATTGTGTGCAATTATAACACAATTTATACGAAGATTTATAAAGATTGAGATCGTTTCAGGGATAGTTAATTTTAAAAGAAAATAATGTTTTAAGATTTTATATCGGGAAAAATTGAAATCTGAAGCTAATGTAAATTATTCGGATATATAGAGATATTAAGATAATATGTACTTTATCTTTACTGGATGAGTGTTCTTGATTCAATATTTATAAATGTTAAACGTTACAGTCTTACGATCAAATTTTTAAACACTTGAGTGAAAGATTTAGTAAACAAAAAATATATTTTTAAATTATGTTGAATAATATATATGAAATTGTAGTTTCGTTTCTGTCAACGGATTTATTGATAGCTCAGTAGGATAGTTTGAAAGGGAAATAGGTGAAAAAATTCTGCAGCTATGTTGAAAATGCACCTCTACTAGTAAATCGCGATTTACGTCCGTCTGTAAAAGATGAAACTATGACACGATCCTATCCCTACATCGAGATATCAGTATCGATCGAAAAAGAACAGTCGTACATTTATGGTACACCAGATACATCAAATATCAATTGAATTTTTATATAAAATATTATATTTTCTTTAAAATTCTTAAAATACTACAAGTATTTATAATAATCCGCAATAAACATGAATCTTGGCTAACAGTATAAACTGGATAAATTTAATAAAAATATATGGATTTCTTGCAAGAGAATTTCATAATAAACAATTTTATCAGCTTGTAAAAGAGATTTTTTTTTTATAAGAAATTTGTAAAATGTAATTTGCGTATTTTAAAATGAATGGTTGATAATATTTATAAATTCGCAGTTAAAACAAATCGATAGAAATATTTCCCTGAAACGTCTCATTAAAATACTGAATAAAATTGAAATAAATACACAGAAAGAAGAACTTTTTTATGTCGTAAATTTTTTGTTTCTTTAGTAGAAAATTTCTTGATGAAACCAACGTGTAGTTTGCATTGCATGCAACGGCATGCAATCGTTTATTTTTGGATAGTGCTTTTACATCGTGACAACCTCCAAAGCAAAGATGAGCATATGTGCAATTGCATGTAATACTGCGCGCGTTGCCGTGTTTTTTTGCAAGGTTCAACTGAATTTTCGGACGTTAAAACCGGCTTGTAACTTAGAGAAGAAAAGAAAATTCTGAATACATATTTGTATAAGCTTACTACATTGTTTTTAATGAGTTCTCCGATTAGCATTTAACAAACATCAGACTGCTAGAATTGGTCTGATCTCAAGCAAGATAATTATATCCGCTGGCTACTTGTAGTATTGTGCTGCATTTGTATTTTACAAAAATATACATACTAAATATAAAATTATATAGAACATACATACACACACATGACAAGCTTCATGAATATCGTTAGTTAATTCAGTTGTTATAATCAATTTAAACTCTGAAATATTTTCACATTTCCCATAATTACTTTTGTCTTACATATTAATGCAAATTTATTCATTGCGTCCCATCGTTCCTAGCAACTGGAAAGTATATATACATAATTCATGATGAATATCATTTCTGTGTTACAGTTCCACCCATGCTTTCTATACCAAATCAGTTGGAAGGAGCGTATATTGGACAAGACGTTACCCTCGAGTGTCATACTGAAGCTTACCCGAACTCGATAAATTATTGGACAACCGAACGCGGCGACATGATAGTCTCTGGTAATTTTAAGAATCCGAATGCACACATTCCCTACAATCATTGCATGTCTGATAAAGAACTTTGAAATATCTATTTAGAATTCCAGTGAAAAGAAATAACATTTCAGTTTTTTAAAAATATTACTGTTGTTTGATTGCATATTTGTTACAAAAATCACTATGCAATTTGAAGGAAGAATATCAAAACTGATAAGAACAATATTATTGAATATTCTAGTCTTCGTTTACTTATTTAAGATTGTATAAATAAATAAAATAAAATTGCACATAAATAAAAATTGATACTAATTACAACAGTCTAATAAATGAAAATCAAATATCAATTTTATTTAAAAAAATGACTCAAAAATTTAAAAGTTTTGTTTGATATTTAAAAATTTTGTTTACGCACTGAACAAGCATGAAAATTATAAATACATAAACAAATGGTTATTAGAAGTTTTCAACGTATATAAATGAACAATCCTCCATGTAGACTGTATGATATTTAAAATTATCCTCTTATCTCTCACGATTTCACAATTCTATTTTTAAATGGAAGCCGGAGAACCTGGTTTTATTTGCACAGGCAATTCTGTTTCAGGCGACAAGTACGATGCGGTAGCCACCGACAGTGGTTACAACAGGTACATGATACTGAAGATAAGGAATGTCGGTCCGAAAGATTTTGGTTCGTATAAATGCATCGCACAAAATTCTCTTGGCGGAACGGATGGTGTCATCAAGTTAGATGGTAAGTCGTATCACGATGATAATAAGGATATCAATACATATCGAATGCGATATAAGTAAAAAATTCGATAAAGATATATCCTCGCACAGAGTAAAAAACGTTTAACATCGTGCATTGAAAAATATTGAGCAAAGTGATATCAAGTTATGGTCTATTTAAGATCGATTATTTGAAAATCGACGTCTGCGCGCTAATGGTGAAATAATTAGTTTCCAATAGTAAGTTACTTAAAGATATTTGAGTCTTCGCCGTTAACGAGCAATAGACGAGATTAAGTACACTTCTCTTACGAGCATTAATCATAATAATTGCTCATTAAATTTGTATTTAACATAATTATCAGATATAATGCAATCATCAAAAAAGCACAGAGAGAGTCTTCTTAAAAATATTATATTACTAAATACAAACTGATATATCAACTTGTGCGAATTAATAAAGATTTCAATTTCGAATAATACACAAAAGCAAAGTGGAGCATGATAGGACGCGGAAGTTCGTGAGGTTTCATAGTGAAACTCCTTGAGATGTGTTGTTTTCTTGACAACGTTAATAGTAGACTAGAAAGGGAAGTTTTGTTTAGTTTAACCGACGACCCACGCGAAAACAATTGTAGACCGCTTCAACGTGTCTCAGCATCATGGACTTGTGAAGAGTAATCGTAAAATCTAACAAACTTCTACGTCGTAATGATACTTGACTTATTTGTGTATATCTTCAGTATCATCTATTATTTTGAATGCAATTCTATACATTCCTGAGCGCTCGAATTTAATATTAAAGTATACCACTTAATTACTTTAACGCAGAAATCCCAGCCCCGTCGACAACAACTACAACACAGCAGCCATACGATGCAACGTCAGCGCACAAGAATGGTAACTAAATTTATTTAAATATTGATATCGTTCCTCAAGTTTATGTCTATATCAGTTATATCTATCTCAGTTATATTTGTTATACATACGATAAGTATGTAGGACAGCTATAGAAAAGATACGTCGTGATCTAAATTGAGCGGTAAGGTAATGCAGTATTATCTTAAACCGCCGGAAGCGTTTAATATGGATTTCGAAATAGGTAGAAATAATATTTTAACTTAGGATCGAGCGAAGCCTCTGAGAGAGAAATCCGGCATTCATTTATTTCTCGATTCTTAAGTAAAACCATCAACTCCTCGTTCGCAACAGCCTACCGTAGAGCACCAATGTAAAACCGCCTTTGTGTAATGCATTTTAGGTAGAAACAGTAACAAGAAATCACGACAAAATCAACGACCTTTCGACTACGAGGTCGAGGAATGGCGAAATCCAGGTCAGTAAATATCTATTTTAACACGCTCCGCGTAGAGCCCAGGCATTTCCCATGACGATACACGTTCCGTCCGAACCGCCATGTCGTTCGAGTAATTAGTGTAATTAAAACCTCGTCAACGATCTACGATCGAGGGGAAGGGAGGGAAGGGAGAAGGGAGAGCCTAAGAGAGAAAATCCATTAAATTGGCAATGCTCTGTGATCCACTTTATCCGCGAGCGAATTACTTCGTCGCGTTACTCGGCCCTCTTTATTGACTGGGAAGGATTCTGCGGTCATTCCTTCGCTGTCGTAAAATCTAAGTGAGAATATAGGAGTACGTTAACTGGCTGTTTGCTTGCTCATTGAGCAATCAATAATTGTGATATTTTTTTGCGTACTATAACTAAAATGACTGAAAGTTAAAAAGTTTTAATTAAACTTTTTTTCAACATTCATTAGGAAAAAACACACAATATTGAACGGTATTTCCTATTTCGGATTCACATTGAGTCTAGTTAATATTTAATACATTTATTGAAAAATATCGAATAATTACTATTATTTTTTTTTTATAAAGTAAGTGTTCTTTAAAATAACACTATACTTGTATCATTATAACTTTATACATACAAAATTGTTGTATATACTGTGCTCCACTACCAATGCTCTTGTATTGATCAGGTTAAGCTACAAGGGATTACAAGATGTCTGTTGAAACATTTTCACGTAAATCCTTTGTACAAGTTTACTATCCCCAGATTTCGAAATTCGACCACAGTATAATAGTCAATGTGTTCTACGAGGCATTCAATTATATTTCACGCGATAAACGCAAAATCGTTACTCTTCTTTTGGAGAATCTAATGTATTTTTCAAACAATGATCACGTATAAGTTTCAGCGTCTAAATCTGTTTACATGGATCGTTTTCCACAGTATTTTTATCGATTCCGATTTCTATTGCAAAAGGTAGACTTCGCACGTTAACGACTTCAAGCACTTCACAGATTCTTATATTATACAAGCCAGCTGACGGAGATTGGCGGCAGAATGCAAGTTCAAAACTCTTGGAATGACTTTGTTCAAAGATTCCCCCAAGCGTCGGCTAGCTTTCCCTTCCTGAAGTTTACTTTCAATTAATGAAAAACGAGCTGCGTTGACCCGCGGCCGTCTACTACCTCTGGTATCAGGAAGTGGAAAGAAAGAAATGGAGAGAGGCAAACTCTTCCATTATTTTTTTCTCGCTTTATGTTTTTTCCTTTCCTTCTCTAAAAATCAATTGACTTTCAGAGTCTTGTCTCGTGTGCATACAATTGTAATTTGTATTCTTTTCGACCATTTTTTACAATTAATACTTCTTATCTAATGTCATAAAAACAATTAGTACGTATACACATCCACTTTAAAATCTACGAATTTAAATGATAAATTCCATAGAATGATTTAAAAAAAGACTATTTGTTTTAACTTTCGATAGCATACACTTGAGGATAATTAAGGAGATTTGTGACGCGGTTTTTTATAAAAATTAATTTTAAATGAGAAAACTTGTTATGTTGTTTTATTATGCATGTAGAATATGTCAGTGAAACAATTCTTAAACATCCATTATATCTGATACGATTAAAATTGAATTTGTATAGCAAATTATTTTACGTTATAAATCACTCGGTAAAAGTTATTGACCTATCTTCGATAAGTGATCAAACGATTTTAAGGTTCATTGTAATTAATTAGAAGTTCGAGTACCTTCGAGCGATTTTCAAGCCACTGAAATATAATCAATGGTAAGAGAATGTACAGACTAAAATGCCAGTAAAGATGTTGTTAAAGTGTTGGAAAATGGCTCGTCTGTCGCCGACCATGCGGAAAGTCACGTACAGTGGATTTTACTGGTAGGTGGGAATAACTTTTTCCGAACGGACGTGCGGTTTCGACGTCCGTTCCTGGCGGGCAAGCCAAGGGGCACGATGAACTACTCTCGAGAAACGCCTTGCATTTGGGACGACTATCTGCCAGTGCTAGGAAAAAAAGCAAAAAAAGGATATTTTTCTCAAGTCGTTACATTCCGGCTTTTTGCAGAAAACAAATTTTGATAATATCGTTCGTCCTAAATGTCTACTTGTTAAGAAATACGAAAAGTTTCTAAAAAATGAATGATTTAAGTTTAAACTTTATTGGAATATTTGAGACAAATAATAGTAATTTCTTTAGAATTATGTATTTATTAATTATATATTTATTAATGAAATACTAATAAATTATATATAAAATAAAATTTCTAATGATTATATATATAATATATTTTTTAGAAATATATTGTTTAACATTTGTTAAATAGATGTCGCAATAACAATTTTGTCAATATGACCTAGTTTAAAAATTTTGATGGAACGATTTGAAAGTGAAACTAATGAAACGAGTAAAAGTTTTGTTTCATCCAGATAGCAGTGCTGTTAATAAATGCAACTTGTTACAAGGGAGTAGATCCTAGATTATTTGATAATGCCGTGGATGGAAGTCATTAAGGTAATCGGGGCCATGAAGTTTTATCACCGCAATAATCGTACATTCTGATGTATGGTCTACAGTCATTGATATATTCGTTTCTATAACATTACTGACTATACATTAGTGCCACAGGTGGCGATGTTGATTCGACTTCAATTCATTTATCAAAGTTCGGACAATCAATAAAAGTTACCATTGGTAGATGTGAGTTTAATCGGATAAAATAGAGCTTTTTCTAAAGTTTCTGACGTCTGCGTACTATTCAATCTACTTCGTATAGTAGGTATTTATTTATAGAATTTACCGATAATTATTTATATGCTATTTAACTAACGCATAAATTATTTCTTTTATTAATAATATTATCATGAAATTTATTCAAGGATTAATTTACGCCTAATAGTTCTACGTATAACTTTATACTTTTTTAATTTTTACTTGTTACTGAACAATATTATGAGAAGGCACAATCGTTTTGTTTGTAAACTCACTGTGGAAGATTATTTCTTTCGCGCACTAAAGCGTAAAAATTTGTTTAAACAACCTTATTAAAGTTTAAGGACTTTCAAGTGTGTAGCTCAGCACCGGAAGCACAATATATCATGACGCGCTTCGCGTAGCAGCTCTTAGCTACGTATCTCACTACGTGTCTCATCGCTCTTCTCGCCACATAACAAATGAAAAAGCTCGCAAGACACATCTGCGAATTACTGCGGCACCGCAATTAATCCAGTAACATTTCATCCGGCGTTTCTTTGATGGTAACGGTTGATAAGGGCCGATTTAACAGACGTCGGATGTATTTAATCTCAAATGAATTTACCCTTCCTGCGTTCTCGGGGGTCCGGCCGCTCCTCATCGCCGAGGGTTTTATCTCGTTAAAAAGGGATTTACGCGAGTTGAACATCGCAGAAATTCCGGTAGAACCGAGAGTTCGCTCGAATTTAATTCCCGGACGCGCACGAGAGGGGGCGGCGGCTCACGGCTCTCCTCCTGACTCTCCTTTCTCTTTGTCGCTCCCCCCCTCCCCCTCCCCCTCCCCCTCGTTTCACATTATCCGCAACAACTCCTCGTATTTATCTTCCGTATCCGCTCGTTACCGTACGTGCATGTATTCGGTCGCGCCGAGAATGAGGCCACTGAGGAAATGAGCCGCCGAGCTTGACGATTTTCGCGTATTCTCAAGCGCTACCAACTATTTGTTCCGGACGCCGCGCAGCTGGCAAACGGCGGTGCTGCTGGCCACGTTACGTGAAAATACAGCCAAGAAGTTTGTCCAAAACGTGTTGACGGTGGTGGTGTTCGCGGTCGATGATACAAAGTGCGAACGGTATTCCAATGGTCGTCTGCCCTGCGGCTAACCATTGACTGGAGCAAAAGAATATTACTTCTCGGGCGATGAATAAATTGCCTCTTTTACTATCAGCAGTGACTATCAGCTTGACTTTTATTTATTACAATACATAAAACTATATTTTTATCATAGATATGAAATATCGTACATGGAAAGAATGGTTTGCTGAAGTATCTAAAAATTTCGGTACAGATCTGAAAATTATTTTGTGTTGGATCATCAAATTATGTAAAATGCTTAAGTGCTGGTTATCGAAGCATTGCTCAATTACTTATTATAATTGAAATTCGTAATTATTTTGATGGTTCAATAAAATTATTTTTAAATCTGTATTCAATTAAATTTTTTAATACTTTAGCTAAATCGTTCTTTTTGTGTAATTAATACTAGATAAAATAAATGACAAATTATTTGCTCAAGATTCACGCTTATAAGAGAAACGAAATTTATTTTTCAAATGTATAAATTTTATACTTATTAGTAAGAAATCAAGTAAAATTTGTATTTCGAATATATTATATAAACATGTTTGTTATAAATAAATATATAATTTAGGGTTTTGTTAAGACAATTTTATTAATAATCTAAACAGTTTTCTTTCCATAAATATAAAATTAGATGACACGTAATTTATATTACTTAAAAGAAATTAATGGACAGGTTTATCGTTTTAATTATCATATATTGATTAAATGTCCATTTTTCCATCGTATAGCTGTAGCAAAATACATTGAAGAACTTCTTGTGACGAAATACTAAAATGATAATTGATTATACATTAAATTAATCGATCAAATTTCTCCAAACTTGTTATTCCAATTCATAAAAATAATCTGAATTACTATCTGACTAGATGCTTGTGAACAATTATTATATTTCATTCGCGTTTCTCTCTTGCTCGATCTTCTATTTATCGTATAATGAGTTGGATAAGTTGTCACATGTATATATGTATATATATATATATATATATATACACACACACACATATATATGTGTGTATTTATATTACAAATATAATACCATTATAACTGACATGCAAATGAACTTTATGACATATTAAAGTGGAAGCAATTACGTTCATTATACATGTGCTTTCGTTAAAAATCTTTTACCAGTTCTTCAATTTTACAAGTTTTACGGTATCGCGTTTTACAGAGAACAATCATTAGAGACATTTTAGGTGTTTTTATACATCGGTTTTATTATCTCTATTGAATTACTAACCTTATCATGAATAATAAATTACAATTCGGTAGAAGAAAATGTAGAAATATGAGATAAAAATGGAAATTAAATCGGTCAAAGTGATGTATAATATATTGTATTTTTTCAATTTCCCGAATGGGTACTATATATATTATATAATCTTTTACACTATTATGTAAAATAGTCCATATCATTTACATTTATATTTCTTGTAAGGTTATTTATAATTTATGTTTGAATTTATAGTATAGCATCTCGAGGTCTATGACCGCGTATATTCTGATCGTTTCCGATCTAATCTATATTCCAGGACTGATAAACAAAGTATAATATTTTAGGTCTCATATTTCAATGTTTCTTTCTATTTTCTTTTATCTTATAGTTATTCTTTTTGCGAATAAATTATTAATTATATTCGAAAAAGAATGGTACTTTTTTTATATTATATTCACATAATAGTTCTATTTTGCTAGAACAATCGCAGCGTAGTTTCGTCTGTTTCCAGACTATGATAGGGATTTCGGCCCAGCATCGATGAGGCCACCGGGTGAGCTGCCGGACGTCCAGAGCTCGGGTATGTTCCATCGTGTGCCGCTCATCCTTCTCATTTCGAGCCTCCTGTCATTGCTGATACCGGCCATCCGAAGGTGATTCTTACGTCGCAGGAACGGGGCTTCCAGTTCTAGTGTTTATTGGTCGGCATCCGGGCCGGCGACAGCTGGTGCGCGCGTGGTTCCGGTATGCCATCAGGCAAATGACGGACGAATACTAACCGCGTCGCGCTTGAAATTATTTTCGTACTAAAAGTAAACTTATACAGAGAGAAAACAAGCGCAAAGGAAATATATATATATATAATATATATATATGAATATATAAATATATAAATATATATATAATATGTCGTGTAAGTATATATGCGGTGAGTACGAAGTTACATTTAGGCTTTCTCGACTGATCGTGTGAAAATAGCGCGACTCGATTCTCCTATGTACGGGACAAGCTTCCCATTCCGCGACCGTCTCGGCGAACTCTCTTGAACAGAAACGTCAAGGAGAAATGCTGCAGCGCATACATTGAGAGAGACCCGTCACCCGCGATGTCCTTCTATCAGGTGATCTCGCGTTGAATAGCTTCGGGGATTGGGAATACACTTAGTCCATGATGAGGAAACCGAGACTTCTCCCTGGAAATTCGGGACATTTCGAGGACTGAGAATCCCCGGCCGGCGCAGCGATCGCGCAGTGTTCGCTTCTTCTTTTTATCTATGAATCGAAGTGGAGTGTTAGATTAGCGAAACTTGATAATTCGGACACAATGATGAATCTGCTCGAATTTTTTCTACTATGATCTCCATAATATCTTCCTAACATGCAACTCCCGAAAAAAATATTTGAATTTACGATTGGCCATCGTATTAATATGTGTAACGTTCTTCAAAAGTAACGTTTTTCAAATGCCGTTTGACTATCCGTAACTATTATCCTCGATTTTTCACATATCAGCTTTCGATACTCCGTGTGAAACGAAACGTCATGTACATTTGCCATAATTCATTAAACCATTTAGTAATCATTAGGGGATAATTAATTTTCTTCTTTTGAAAAAATTGAGAGACATTAATGCATTTTAATTGACGTTTTTAATATTATGTAGGCGTTTTGCCATATTACGAGAAAGACAAAGAAACTGTATTCAGTAAATATACATATACGTATGCATAAAAAGAATATATATATATATATACATATATACGTACGGATCGTAGTTGTGTCGAGACGCATCGCTCGGTAATCTCGTAATTAGTTGTTGGATTGATAAGGAGTGCAAGTATAATTCGAGCACATGGTCCTACATGTTTTGCGTGATGCGATTGCTAACAGAGTTCAATGAAAATCTGTAAGCTCGCATCCGAGTATGTGTGTTTTGGGGAAAGAATTAACGCTAGACATCAAGTAGCCTCGAATCATCGACGACGGTGACGCAGAGAGCTTCGTGGCTTCTTTTTGCGCGATTATGACATTTCGATGGAGTGAAATATCGGTTTCTATCGGGATTACGCGACCGCGATTATCAGAAACGGTAACAATCCGGAAAGGTGCAACGCGTACTCTTGTTACGATTAATGTTGAATATATAGAGCGTACATATATATATAAATATCTCTCTCTCGAATCGCTGTTCTCGAAAAATTGATTGGCATCTCCGAAAGCGATTATCATATTCGCGCAAATTCCTATTTTTCACTTCTCGTTTTGTCCATCGCGTGACGCAAGTGTGCGACTATTATGGGCATATATGTACGTAGAGAATGCTCTGCGACGCTTCAACCACTTTGAATCTCCTCTTACGTTGTACCTGATCATATCATAAATTGCCATCATGCCGTTCGATTTTAGACGATACGGATGTGACATGTTATGCGCCTTTCCCTGTTAATTCTGTAAATATTGTAGATACGTTGTGCTGTGATCAGTCTGGATCGTCGTCTTTGAGAGGATGACTCGAGGCTGCGCTTGTTAAACCGAGTGTAGAAGGCGAGTGTTGTGAATATTATATACTGTTTGAGATGATACGGCGGTATTGGTATGATAACGTCGTTCAATAGAATACCAATGAGGCTGCAGCGATCGTAGCTATATCTCAAATTAAGTTATAATAATGTTATTAATGTATCATGTCCGACGATTTCACTATGTCAAATGATTTTTATGTACCGGGTGCATCGCCTCGGATGACACGAACCGATAATTAGATATAGATAGTGGAACTGTCGGCCTGTATATCTTAATAAATTGAGTAAATGACTGCCATTATGTACGCATTGTTTAATTAACAAATAACCTTACACAATTAAAGAGATCTTCATTTATTCCATATAATCAATACATTTTTATTCGTAACAATTTTGCTAAATTCTTATTAATATGTTTTTATTTACGTTACAGATTTGATTTTTTGTTATATGTTCCTGTGTTTTCTTGAGATGGAAACAGATTGAAAGGAAATTTTCTGCAAAAGTAAGAGAAAGGTAAGTATCATTAATTATTTATGCATGTGTGAGCTAATATATATATATAGCTACTTTTTAATTACTTGAAGTAATTTTAAGAGAGAATAATATAATTTAACTTATAAATAATTTTTTGCAATTTTGAAGAGAACAATTTGAATATTTCACGAAAATAATTAACATAGATAATCGTCTAAAGTACTTATCAAATAGATAGAGACTTATTAAAATTATTTAGCCGCACATCTTGAAATTCAGTTAACATAGATAATTAATAAATTATTGTTATTGTATTTGTGCTGAATATTTTATTTAATTACTGAAAGATAATATTTATAACGAATTATACATATTTAATTTTAATTAGGTTATAATTAATACGAAAACAAGTAACGTCATAATAAATTTCTGTTGAAAATATATTGCATTTATCAATTTTCATTTTTAACAATTTTGTTAATTTTGCTTACTGATGTATCATAAATTAGCGTGTCATAAGAACATATTATAATAAACATGTTTCACGTATTACGGCAGCAAATAATATCTGTTTATTTTAGCTGAGAGTAATATGATATGCGACATATTTCATGAAATCAAATGAAATATGTTTCGTACTTTCTTTCTTCGAAAGAATATTTGCAAACCGCACTGCATATTGTAATATTAGTCATTATAGATAATTTTAATGAGCACGAATTTTTTTATATAGATCTTCATATACTTCATATTTTGTCAATTTTTATCGGTTAAATAATACAAGTTCAAAAGCTATCGAGTATCTTTTTATGAATAAATATTAATTAATTATGGACATGACGTCCAAATTAATTAATATTTTATTCATAAAATGATACTCGAAAAGCTTTGAAATAATCTTTGAATATATTTAAGTAGACAATTATGTATACATTTGCATGTGTAAAATTCCAAAATTTTAGTTACAATGGTTAATACATTAATGATGTTAGAACTAATTTTGTGTATATATTTCGATCATTTCATTAAAAGGTATAATTAATTAACTACATGAATACTGTGTACAACATATGATGTATGTAAATTAAATTAAATTATTATTAAACATGTAACTCATGCTTTGCAATGATTCATGGATGTAGATAATGTATTGAATTAAAAAATTATCCACGCATCCATTGTTAAGTATAAAAGGACTATATATTGTACATTGATATCAGATAACATGTTGCGCGAAATTGAAGAGGAAATAATCCCAGCATTTCTCTTTGAAGTCATCATCAGTGTGACATATTAAGTTTTATATTACATAATTAATATGGACATTAAATATTTATCATAAATATATAACTGTTACATATGCATAAATATGTTAAATATTTAATGTTATATATATTTCTTAAATAATTGTATGTATAACAATTTTTAATCTGTATCTAATTTTAATTGAAGAAATATATATATATATAAATATTACTGCAGTAATTAGAAACGGTAACTTTATTGATAACTTTAATCATTATATTTCGTTAAATACAAACATATTTACTGGGATTTTAATTAAAATTATTGCACTTGTTTATATAAATAAATATGCTACGATTTTCTTGCAATCTCTGATAAGTTAATGTTGTATTGCAAAGATCGATTGAAAATATTTTTGTATCATGACTGGTTTAATTTTATTGTTTTATCAATAATTAATTTTATTCATTGATATATAATGTTCTTACAATCTTTGAAATAATTTAAAATGAACAATTAGAAATTAAATATTATAATGGCAGTTTCTTCTTCAGTTTCCGACCTCTTTTTTGTTCTGAAACAGCAATCGATCTTCTTACCAAACTTAAAAGACAAATGTTACACGGTTTCTTGTTCACAAACTTTTTTCTATAGTGACATGAAAAAGGGTACAACAACATTCGCCTTGACGATATTTCTTCGAAACCTTTTCTTTTACTTGTGCTGGTCTTTTTATAAATAGTCTTTGTTATATAATGATTATTCACGATTAAATAAAGAGGATTGATGAATTTTAAGTTTGACAGAAACAAATAGCTTATTAAAGATCAGATTTTGATTAATTTTAGATGCATAATGAAACATTGTAACGAAATTACGCTGAATTCAACTCGGGTTCTGTCATGCTTAGTTGATAAGGACAATGATACCCTTGCTTTGAACAAAGGTACGCCCACTGTTGGGCACACGTGATAGGCAAACCGAATGAATGCGAAATGGTCACGAGCTGTTGCATACCGTGCTATGGCTGCATTAAAGCGTAGGTGTTAACAAGTAAAACTAAGAGCCAAGAGTATCATACATATTAGTATATCTATGTGGGGAATATATTAATAAATGTATAGGATATGTGAAAAACGTAAAACGTTCTGAAATTATCGTAATATTTTTTTAGTAATCAATCTCGTAATTAACTTAAATTGTTTCTTGATCAAATTCGTGCTAATGATATATTCTTTTATATTAAATATCGTGAGAAAATTAATTAAAAAATCAAATTATGCTTCAATAAGAATAAAATTTCAGCATTTTAAATTCGCACCACGAGAAAAGTACGTTTCGTAGTTTAGAGTTTTGCTCTTCCTGAGTGACACGCGTCACAAAAAACAAAGTGCATCGATCCCAGCGGAGAATTCCGGCAAACAGGTTCTCTGCGTTTCATTTCGCGGTTATTTACGCCCATGCGATTTCGCAAATCCGGCATTTGGCCCGCTGTGGATTTCAACTGAGGATTGCCGCTGCGGGCAAGCGTGGTTACACACGCGTACATATCGATGCAGTCGGCGAGAAAATGACTGGCGATTAAAAAAGAGAGTTGAAAAAGAGCGGGGTTAACGAATCGAGACGGACGCGCATGGTGAACGATCAATCAGCTTCTATACTTCCATTTATTTTTTTCTTTCCTTGACGTTAAATGAGCACAGTAGACGAAATGGGCAAGAAACGATTCATAGGACGATCATCTGATTTGAAGTTAGATAATTATGACGCGTAATGGTATCTGCAATACGATAAGATTTACACTGTGCTAGTAAACCGATGAAACATTAAGAGACTTTAATGCTTATTGCAGTTGTTTCATTCATAATGGTGAGGATAATAATAAATAATTCGATGGCGTGCATGACGATGATTACCTTCTCAATATACGACGATTCCTCGATGGCTGTCCAACTCTATATATATATCTCTCCTCGACATTTTGGTAGTTACTAATTATGGGATATTATCGACTCGCGGAAGTTAGTACAGTCTCCTATTCTCCACCTCTGAGCGGCCATTACCGGTCGTACGAACGTTCAGAACACTCCTTGACAGCCCGAATATCAAAATTGATGTTCTATCCGGCTTTAATTGAATTAGTAGATCGAGTGCCTTACAAGTCAAACTATTCTTGTAATATGCTTAAGTTACGTATGGAAAATTGCTTGTAAAAATTAAATTAAATGAAAAATTAATTCTTAAAATATCATTATCTTTAGGCTTTTCGATCATAAATATTATTATATTTTCACTCTACGTCCATAAATATTGTTATTTATTAAGTCTGAATGAAGCAATTAATCATGAAATATATATATATATATATATATATATATATATATAAATTAAGATAAAGAAACCGTGATGAGAATTTATATTTTTACGGATTAAAAATCAAGCATTGAAGATATTACAATCATAGTTGGGAAGATTGCTCGAAAAGCATTTTGTAA